AAAGCATCGGAATAGAAGTTTCCCGCTCTGAAGAAATATTCTGATAAAGCGCCTCCAACTGATAAATTTGCTACACATGAAGTCAAAGTGGACTTTGAGTACAAAAGTGTTGAAGATCCTAATAAAGTTGTACCACCAGATCAGAGGATTAAGGGTTATCGTTATGGCCCTCAAGTTATTCCCATATCATCTGCTGAATGGGATGCTGTCAAGTTCAAACCAGAAAAAAGTGTGAAGCTTCTGGGATTTTCTGATGCTAAAAACATAATGCGGTAAACTCGTATATGCTTTAATTTGTATCCAACCATATAGTTTCGTTTTTCAATATCAATTCAAATGACAATATCTTGATCTTTTTTCTTCCTTTTTTGGGGGGTTCTGCCCTATGCTTACATACATCATAGACACTATTACATGAAAGATGTCAATGTTTTCATCCCTGAACCGGGTAATACAAGAGCCATTCTTGCTGTTTCTGCCCTAGCAAGAGCTATGCAAGATATGAATAAGGTGGCAATTTTGCGTTGTGTTTGGAGACAAGGACAAGGGAATGTTGTTGTTGGGGTCTTGACACCTAATGTCTCTGACAATGATAATATTGTGAGTCTCAAGTCTCTATATGCAGTTGAACAGACTGCTGTATTGAAGTACTTTTGCTTTTCATGGTTCCCTAATACCTATTAATTCTGCATGGGTTATTGTTATTATTGGCAGCCTGATTCATTTTACTTCAATGTGCTCCCTTTTGCTGAGGATGTTCGAGAATTTCAATTCCCTTCTTTCAATAACTTTCCAGCATCATGGCAACCAAATGAACAGCAGCAAGAGGCTGCAGATGACTTTGTCAGGATGTTTGATCTTGCACCACCTGGCAAAGAAGAGGCTCTGCAACCTGACCTAACTCCAAATCCTGTTCTTGAGGTACTCAGTCATGCAATTTTGTCCATCTTCAGGTTCCTTGTTTCCTCCATGATAATTTCCACATAGCATTAAAGGCCACAAATTAAGATGTTTTGAAGAGTTTCTAAAAGCCAAATCTTCAAAAAGCTTATTTAAAGTGATAATATGTTCTGGTCTTCCTGATGTCGTTTCCTTTGGTATTGCTTTATTGTTTTCAATTGACATTCATTGCAGATTTTATAATTTTTTTCAGCGCTTTTATCGTCATCTTGAGTTGAGATCAAGGCACCCAGATGCAGCTGTGCCTCCACTCGATGAAACTCTCAGGATGATTACTGAACCTGATAAAGAGTTGCTTTCTCAAAACAGATCTGTTCTTGATGTATTTCGCAGCCGTTTTGAAGTCAAAGAGAATCCAAAGGTCATTACTCATTGTCATGCAGGCAGTTTATCTTTTATATTCCTTTGGCAATCCTATAACAGAACTTCAAATTTTATGTGTAACTGATTTGCAGCTGAAGAAATCAAGTAGGCGATTTTTACGAGACAAGCCATCTGGGTCAAATGAGGGTCATGCTGACATTTCTGATGAACCTAAATCCAGCGGATATACTTCTGCTGTTAAGGTTGAGAAAGTTGGGGATGCTACTCCTGTCCAGGATTTTGAAGCTATGATCAATCGTAGAGATAGCCCACAGTGGGTTGGCAAAGCAATTAAGGATATGAAAAACAAAATACACGACTTAGTAGAGGACTCTTATGAAGGGGATAATTATCCCAAGGCACTGGAATGCTTAATTGCCCTCCGCAAGGGTTGCATCCTAGAGCAAGTATGTCCCTTCCTCTCTCTCTCTCTCTCTCATCAATGTTAAATAAATGTGAAAATGGAGCAAGTCATTTTTGTGCTTCCATGATTATCCTTTATTATTTTATTTACTTATTTACTTATCCTTTTTTTCTTCTTCTTACATTTTGTTAAAAGAGGACCTTTCCTCTCCTCATAAATGAAAATTTGCTTGGCTCCTTGTGAGTAATGAGTAAATTAATCTTACAAAATGAGGTAGATAAATCACAATTTGACGCATATCTACTTAGAAGGAGAATGACTTCTTTTGAAAAAAGAAAAGGTAAATGAAGACGTATGAATTTGTGATTTACCCACCTCAGCTTGTAATGAGGAGTGGCTCCTTCTGACACTTCACAATTTAAACTTAAGTTGTTTTAAATTCTCACTTAGTGTCATTTTAGTTTACTTGTACGGGTGTACTTTGACAGCTGTGGCTTACCTGACAATTGCATATTAACCTCAGAAAGTTTGTCCTCTGCAGGAACCGAAACAGTTCAATGATTTTCTGCGCACTCTATGTATATTCTGCCAGGAGAAAGCCCTCAGCAGTTTCTGTGAATTTCTTGCATCCAAAGAGCTCACCTTGATTTCAAAGACAGAAGCTATAGACAGGTTTTGCCCCCTTACGCTCTTTCCGGTTCTTCAAGTGCTTGTTTTCAAGTCAATCGTATCTTTCTCATTTCTTGCAGCAGTCATTTATTTGATTTTTTTCCCTATATGTTCCCAATGCAGTGAAGTTACGGATGATGAAGCTAGGAATTTTCTGGTCAAATCAGAGCCAAAGTTGGAATGAGTGCTTGAGTGCTTTAATTGGTGTCTTGTGGCTATTTGGCGAGAGTTACATCATTGTACAGAACCCAAATTTTGTTTCAAGATGTGGGGTTTGATCTGTAAATATCTTGGAAGTACGAAGTGTGGAAACATGAACACGTTATGTTTTGTTAAGCACAGTCTGGCCCACTTTAATTAAGTTTCACTGTATCTTTGGTTTGCTTAATGCACTAGGAGAAATTAACCCTAATTTTTCTTTTCCTCCTAAAACATATTGATGAAGGCTTAGATTACAGTTTGATAAAATTACATGAAAATTGGTGTTCTTAATTTTAATTGAAAATTTCGGGTTTAGAGTTTATGGTTTAGGGTTAACTATTGATTTTCCAAAATTTAAATCTGGGTGCCCAACACACAGTTTATGCAATTAAAGATTTTTATGCTTTCCAAATCAGTAGACCCATTGACTCATAACTGGTAAACCAAGCTTTCCTCTTTTTGGTTTTCTTCTCCTTCACAAAAAAAGAAAAACAGAAATTAATTAAGTTTTCAACCCTAGAATTTTCAGGAAAGTATGATGAGTTCTTTCTTTCCTTGTTGGTCATGGAGAAAACCCTAGAGAATCAATGGTGCACCTATATAAGAGTGTTACCCCCTTCGTTCTCTCTGTCCTTCCCTTCCCTTCCAAGTAGTGTGTTTTGAGTGTTAAGGTCATCCATGGCTTTCACAAAAGTTGCAGTCATCTTTTTCTTCTTGATGGCAATGGGTCTCTGTCACTACTCCTCCATAGCCGAAGATTCTTTCGAAAATAAGAACTTAATTACTAATTCTGATAATACTCTCGGTAACTTGTTTATTCTGAGTCTTTATTTATTGTCTTTTAGTTAAATGTTAGTCTTTGATTTTGGATCAAGTGTGCAAAATATTATTTATGTTCATCAAGTAATTATTTAATTATCCACATGCAGAAGATGCATGCAACAACGAAAACCCTCACATAGAGCAAGTGGTCCAAGATCCCAAGACATCCATGGCAAATGATCAAAACTCTTCTGGTTGGGAAGATGATAAGATTGAAGTCAACACAAAGTCAACAGATCCAAGCACAAGCAATGGAGCTTCTCATCTTCAGTACCAAGTTTTCAGCACTTCTAATGGCAATGCAGTAGGACCAGAGATGATTATCATTCTTGCGCTTGTAACCGTCTTTGGTGGTCTCTATTTCTTTGCTCCCTATGTCCTTCTCGTAGCGGTAATTTTTGGTTTTGGATTTATAGTTTTTGTATCGATGAATTCAAGATAAGCTGGTTTTCCATCATCTTGGTTTTTCTTAGGGTTTTAGGGTGAGGAGGGAGGGTAGAGTAAAACTGCACCGTTTTGTCATATTTTTTTCTTAACAATGTGAAACATTTCAGACAATTAACATTCTGTTCTCCTCCAAGCTTCACTTCTATATGGAAGAACACAACACTGGAGTAAACTATGGCAGGCAGATATGAGACGAAAATTGATTGGTGAATTGTGGAAATGATTCAATAGGGTTTCTGACAAAAAAGAAAAAAATTAAATAGGGTTAAAAGAAATTTAACAGCTTCAAAACAAGAAAACCAATCCCTTGCATCAGTATGAAAATTTTAATACAAAATTAATTATTACTTTCGAACCAAAAAAATTTATTTTTTTTACAACACCCAAAAAATTTAGTTAGCTTATTACTAATTACGAACTTTGCATATAGAAATTTCCCTTTTTATTTTCCTTCTGATATATGATCTGATATTGGGCCGATTGCCTAATTGATGAAATGATAATGACACACCATGATTAGGCTGGTAAGCAAAATCACTCTCGTTAAATGGCTGGTTCCATTCCACAGCCTGCTGCTCAACAACAACATAGAATGTTTCGGTTGTAATTTCTCTGGCAGTGTATTGATCCAAAAACCTTTTACATTTGGGTATGTGGTTCAGTGAAGATTAAGAACCCAAAAGGAGAGAACAAAACAAAATGAGTTAAGGTCACACAAGCCAGCTTTCTATCACAAAGCCTTGAGGCTGTTCCCACAATTTGGCATTTGAAAACTATACTGAGCTACTTTGCTACTCCCGCCATTCTTTTGCATTTGATGAAGGGGAGAAAATTCACAAAATTTGCACAAAGAAAAAAACAAAAGCCGGTACCGGAGGCAGTAGAATCGATCACTCAACGAACTTTCAGTAATTCAACATCGTATACCAGCCATGAGTTTGGTGGCACGTCTTTACCATCTCCATTGCTCCCAAAGCTGCAAGCATGTAGAGCAAGTAGTGAGTTTATAAAGAAAGAAATGTACAAAAGGAAATCAGTTAGCTGACATTCTAAAGACATACCCCATTGATGGTGGGATAACAAGTCTTCTTTTCTCGCCAACTTGCATACCTGAGAATCATGCATGCATCACAAGAGTTTTCAAATAACGAAATAAAAAGCAATTATAATTATTCAACAAAAGACCAAGTTACAAAATACAAATCAAGTTACATAATTACCATCAAGACCAACATCCCAGCCGTCTATAACTTTTCCCTGACCTGCAAGAAGCAACAGATGTAAATACAAAGCAGAACAATTTTTTGGTAAAAAGTATGACTTTATCTCATTCAGTAATTACCTAAGCGAAACTTGGAAGGAGCACCGCCAACAGTTGAGTCAATTACTCTTCCATTCTCTTTCAACTTGCCAACATAGTGAACGCTGATCTGAAATCAAACAGAGCTACTACAATCAACATTCTGTTAATCCTTTACTTTAATTTTGCTCTTGAAGAAATGTTCAGAGTAAAGAATATTATTCTAAGCTACCTTATGCAATGGAAGGTTAGATACAAACAAACAAAATTAAACCAGCATCAGTATGAAATAGATCAACTATGGATTCAAATAGACGTGCCTTTTTCCCTGAAGTAGCAATTTTCCCATCTGGTTTTCCCGATTCTAACTCCTCGATACTCAATCCACTTGGGAAGGTTCTAATTTGAGATGGCTTGGCATCAGTGTTCTCTTCTGCCACTGAGAGAGGTACATCTGTGTTCACAGCTTCCCCATGTGCTTGGGTTTTACTTTTTTTCTTCTTTTTAACTTTCTTCTCATCAGATTGACCATCAACAAATCTATCTGAATCATGGCCAGAACTCCTGAAAAAATGGACAGACAATTTTATACTTAATCATGGGATAACTATTGTAAAATCACACACAAACAGATGAGTCGCCTGAAAATCGCATAGATATTGGAAATGAGTGCCATAGGGAGATGTTTGACTTGCCCATGCTTTCCCACACAGGAGATAATAATGGACAATACATATTTGATCAATAGAAATTGCATTCTTTTGACAGATGAAATATGCATCTACACTCAGGAGTGCAAATGCATTCCTGACTGCACGTGTGCATATGCAAAAGGCCTGACATGGATCTGCATATTATCATTACACAGTCCATTTCCTTGGTCTTGTCCTGTCATGCTATTTCCAAGATCAAGGTAAAAGGGATGAGAAGAAAATATCCTGTGGGATTGAGATAAACCTGGGGCAAAAGTTCCATATCTTGGCATACTTCAATAACAAAAGCGAAAAACCACATAACAGTACTCACCCATCCTTGGCTGACTTCTGATTTTGTTCACTTCTAACTGGCAGATCTTGGCACATGTCACCCTTTGACTCATCCTGCTGGCCTTTATCCTCTTTGACAACATTATCTGGGTTAGTGCTCACAACCTCACATGTTTTCTCCTCCACCCTCTTCCTCCTTTTCTTTTTTGGTCTTTCACCATTTTCGGGGATGACCTCTGTTAAAGGCTTCGAGAAATTATCTGGCACTTTAGCTTTACTACTTAGGCATTTCAATAGCATAAAGAAAATCAAGACCAACAAACATCAATGTCAGTAAATTCCCCAACTGCAATACATAGTATGCACACTACAAAGTATCAGGATGTGAGAATGTATATCTTCGAGGCAAAGGAAGCAAAAAGGACTCACCTATTGTTGGACACCTTAGGCTCTTGTCCATCTTCCACACGCAAATTCTGGGTCCTATTGTCAGCTCTTGCCTCATATTTCTGGGCTTCATCCTCTTTTTCAAGTAGACCAGCTTCAAGTGCTTTCTCCTCCTTTGGCCGTTCTTTCCTTTTTCTCTTTGGTGTTCCACCGTTTTCAGGGCCTACTTCAGAAGGTGGCACCAGATCTACTGGAAGGTCAAATTGCCTGCATTTTAATTTGGCAATCAAGACAACAAACAAGGATCAATAACTCAATTTGGCAATCTAGATGTCAGACAAGCCTCAACCCGAGCTAGCATATGATTTAGAAGATATCAATGCCAGCATTAAAGGTAAATGGAAATATAATTTGGTTTTTTAAGCTTCATTTATCATGCTGTAATACAGAAAATCTCAGGATATTGGTAGTTGATTGTACTGTGTTTTTTTGAATATTTTTTCTTGTGTTCAATTTGCATAACAATAAACACTAACAAGCTATAAGATCTAATAAACTTATCTAATTTAATAATTATGAGTGCACAAAATTAGTTTGTGATAGAGGGATAACTCCCTTAAACAAGTGAAGTTGCCATGGTTATCTTGTTAAGCAGGACAAATACCTTTTCGATTGACCACCTACATCCACATCATCACCATCTTTGATTGATTCAGTATCATTAAAGACACCATCCTCTGTCTTCGTGCTGCTGGTATCAACGGTTCTCTTCTCAACTTTTTCTTCCACTTCCTCTGTTGTGCTCTTTGAAGCGTATTTTGCCTTCAAAGAGGCAATCGGACATCTGTCTTCATCTTCACTTTCCACATCTGACTCACTCAGTTGGTACATCTTTCTAAGTCGTCTGCGGCTGCCCTTCCCATTCTGAGGTTTCTTCTTATTCGAAACCTCATCTAGATAACCAGAATCAGAATCTACAAACACAGATAGAGCAAATATCTCAGAATAATATTGCAAAAATTCATCAATGATGCATCTCTATGGGACATTAAAAAAAAAAAAAAAAGAGAGAAAAACTAAAGATGCAAGGCAGCAAGCTGAGCATGTGACGCAGAGACCAAATATGCCTCTAAACTCAATGTAGATGAACATGAGTATGTTGTCTACAACAAACACCAAAATAATGCCATAGAGCTACTGCCACTGACCACACTTTAAAACTCATGCATGCTACAATTTGTGGAGGGAAAATTCAAAGCAAATATTTTGGTAACACGTACCTCCACTATCAGAAACAGGAGAAGATGGGTAAACTTCTGGGTCATCGTCATCAATAAAACTATCATCATACTTATCTTCTTCACTGTTAACGGATCTCTGTGTTTCTGAGTCAGCAATATCTTCCCCATAGGATTCTCTTGGCATCATAGTAAAGGGAAAAGAAAGAGAATCTCATATGAACCAGACAATGAAAAATGCCCACAACTTGCAACCACAAAAAAAGTCCATAACACAGAACCATCTAGTTTTGCTGCGAAAACTAGGAAAAATAAACCTCATCAACCGAAAAAATAAACCTGGTCACTTGGGTCCCCATTTGTTGGAAACCAAAAAAAAACAACAAATCCTATAATTATTTTCTTTTCATTTCTCAGTACCTAATTAGGTAGTACTGCAGCAAAAACATAGAATTTTTTACCAAAATATTAAGTAGAGAAAAAAATAATGGCCTAAACAGTAACCCAACTCAACAAAAGGATACGAATTATCATCTAAATTGCGATGCCGATGACCACCAAGATAGTAGCCAGAGAGGTGAACACTCCGAGGACCAATAACTGAGAAGATGACTTCTTCAGACTCCTCAAATTCCACATTTATTTGAAATGATTCAGCCTTCTCAGGAAACAATGAGCATAGGTAAACTGGACTCTTGTTTCCTACATTACACTGAAGTATGCTTTTTTTCGTTGCTGTCCCAGTCCCCAATGTTGCCTGTGTATAGTAACATGTACATACATTATTATCTATATTATTGACCCAAACAATTAAAACCAAGTTCAGGATACCTCAAAATCAAAACCTATTCAACTTTCACACCACATACATACAATTGGAACTAAATTCTAGTACAAAGTTAACCAAACCCACAAAAAGGCAGGGTTTCTATTAAAAAAAATTCCTAGAAAATGAACCATAGGCATCTTCACAAAACCCATCTTTGGTAAATTCCCAGCATAAAAAGTTGAAAGAATTTTAAAAACAAAGAAAACCAAGAACTCATTCTATTAAATGCATTACCACTGAAATGTGAAGCCGTCCTTTCAAGCCATCAAAGATATGAGTGAAAGGCTTTCCGGGTTTCACTTCAGTTCCTGCAACAATCAATAACCACACATAAGACTGAAAACCCAGTGGAACATTATTGAAGAAAGTCTATTGTTATGTGGAACATTATTGAAGAGAACCCAGTGCAACAATCAAAACCACACATAAGATTGAAAAACCAAAAGATTACTAAAACTTTAAAATTGGGAAATA